CCGGGGGGCCATGGTGGGAGCCTTGACTTTGAGCTGGGCTTCTTTCTACTTCCCTCTCCTTTTTGTCTCCTCCTCCCTCTTCCCATCTTGGCCTTCAGCTCTCGGACGTCATTTCCCTTTGCTGTCAGGACTGTATGGCAGAGGCGAGAGGCCTGTTTTAATGGCCAGCACAGCCAGCCACCGTCCATGAACCCAATGCTGGATGCCTCCGCATGCAGTCCTTATGGAGCAGGCTGCTAACCCATCACAAAGGCAGGGCAGGAATGCAGGTCCCTGCCACTCCCAGGCTGGTCCCCCATGCTGGCGGCTGCGCGGGTCAGGGAACTTGGGAGCCACCTGGGACTCTGGTTCAGTGGGTGTGGAGGTGGCCTAACAGCTATGTTTTTAACAGAGCCTGTAGGGCTGTGATCTCAGGCTTGGTGCCCTGTGATCCTACCCTCCTGTCTCCCCAGGACATCTGTTGGTACCCACACTTCTTTGCCTTTCCTGCACAGCCTCCTTCACTGTAAATGGCTGCATGTAGAGGAGCCCTGTTTGCCCCCAGTCAGCCAAATGCCAGGATGCCAAGGCTCATGGAGCCAACACAAAGCCCATGGATAGCAGGAGTAAGGCTCAGCGGGCCCAGGTGGCTCAAAGAGACACTGTGGAAAGGGGGTGCTGAGCCCTGCATGGCCTGCAATGGCCTCACAGAGCAGGCATTTCCTCCCTGGCAGGAGGCAGCTATTCTGGGAAAGCTGGCTGGTGGAGGAGCTGGTGGAGGAGGAGGTACTGGTGGGTGGGGGAGGAGCTGGAGGATGGAGGAGGAGCTGGTGGGGGAGGAGGACCTGATGGGTGGAAGGTAGAAGAGCAGCTGGTGGGTGAAGGAGGATGGGAGGAGGAGGAGCTGGAGGGTGGAGGAAGAGCTGGCAGGTGGAGGAGGAAGAGCTGGTGGAGGAGAAGCTGGGGGAGGAGGAGGAGCTGGGGGAAGGAGCTGATGGGTGAAGAAGGAGGGGAGGGGCGGAGCTGGAGGATGGAGGAGTTGGAGGAGGAGGAGCAGGCAGGAAGAGGAGGAGCTGGCAGATAGAGGAAGGATGCCCTGCTCCACCCCAACCTCTGGGATGTGCTTGGAGAGGAAGACTCCTTGGAGAGGCACTTTCTGAGTCTTTGGGCGGGAAAGAAATGGCTGGTGGCTTGGGGCTGGGAACCTGCCCTCTCTGGGTCAGCCCCTGCCCTCTTGTTTACAACACAGCCCTGCCCGGCCCTGTTCTGTGTGCCTCCCTTGCTGGTAGTTTGCCCCTCCTTTCCTTGGATGGGCACCCAGGCCCCGGTCCTTGCTGTGGTCAGGTGGAGGCAGAGCCTGACCCCTGGTTCAGTTGGCCCTGGCTCTCCCCAGCTGTGGAAGACGAGGCTGGGCTGGGCTTCCTTCCCTTCCCAGGCAGAGGTCAAGCCTCCAGAGTTCCTAGGGGGCCAGGCGGCCCCTCCTTCCTTCTCCTTCCCAGTGTTCATTGCAGCGGGAGTTCCGGCTTCGGCACTGGGCTCACTGGCCCGGTGGGCTCCCTGTTGGCTTGAGTGTGGGAGGGATGCAGTCCTACTCGCCTGGCCACGTGACTGTGGTCACCGAGGGAAACTGAGCTTGGCCACGGGCCGCTGCACACGGCAGCCACGTTTGTCCTCCCTAGCAGGTTGTGCAGAAGTTGAGGGCAAAAGATCACACAGTGGGGGTGCTCACCAGAAGCAGGGGGGGGACTGAGAAGGCTCAGAGCAGCTGCGTAGGGCAGGGAAGGGGGAGTCGGGGCTGTGGGCTAGTGAGGGGCCCCTCCCCCAACCACACGGGACACCAGATCTGCAGGAGTTTGCATTTCCTCCAGATGTGAGGGGCAGCCTGGCCATTGACGTCCTGGGGCTTTGCAGCTCTTGGGGGGGAAGGGGAGAGGGGTCCGGTGCAGTGTGGCCCCCTCTGTGCTTTGTAGCGTAGCCTTGGGCCAGGCAGGCACTGGCTGTAGGACTCAAGTCTGTCACCAGTCAGGCAAGGGGGAAATGTCCCCCACGGCTGCCCACCTGTCCTGTTGGAGAGCCAGGTGAGAGGCCCCTGCCCAGAGGGCGAGGTGGGGGGGGGGAGACGGGCGGTGTCAGCAGCAGATTAGGCAATGGGAAGGTTGCCAGCCCCGCCAGATGCGTGGAGGCAGGGAAGATCCGAGTGTGGCTTTCCGCCTGGCGACTTCACACAAACTCCAGGACTTCCCTGGGCCTCAGTTTCCACCTGCACAGCTCAGGACTCCCCAGGGGTTGTGAAGATTCTGGGGGTCTGTTGACAAGCTGATTCACTGTCTCCCCCTTTGCTCAGGGCTTGACCTAGCAGGGAGAGCAAGAAGGCGAGGAAGGGGGTTCCAAGAAGTTAAAGGAGTTGACACCCAAGCTGCAGCCTGTCTTGCTGGGAGGTCCTACTTGGGACGTTAGACTTGGTCCCCTGGATTTGCCTGCAGTCTCACTCCCATCTTGAAGGAGCCAGGACAGCAGAGGTGTCTTCAGGTGGCAGGTGACCTAGCTGCCCATCCCTGGGTCTCAGGAGGATGGCATCACGTGATGTCTCCCAACTGCCAGGTCCAAGGGGTCCACTGTGAGTTCCAGTCCAGCATCTCCAATCTCCATTGTTGCCTTGCTCCTGGCTACTGCCAGGCTTACCGCCCCATCTTTTCCTCAGGGGATCTATGGGTCCTGGGGTATCCTGCCTGAGAATGCTGGAATCACTCTGTTCCAGGGTCCCATGTGTCTCATTCCCAGTCATCAGATCAGGGCCTAGGGGTTTGGGAAATGCAGAGGCCAGGGCTATGTTCAAGGTCACCCAGCCAGTGAGCTTAGGACTCTGCCTCCTGCTTGGTATGTGTTTTCTGCCGTGCAAAGCTGTTTCTCCAGGTAAGAGGAGGTTTTGCTTCCGTGCACAAAATCAGTTCTGCAGTGATGGGAGAATCCTAGGAAGCAGAAAGCGCAGTGCGGGTTGTTTTGAAACAGGCTCACCTCCCAGAGGTTCTGCGGGTTCAGATAAACCCTGGACAGGGCTCAGAGCCCTTACCCACCAAGCCCCAGCAGGCAGCTTGCGGGTGGAGCTAAACCCTGCAGTCGCCAACCTCGGGCCCCTTGCTCAAACCTTGCTTGCAGTGATGCAATTCTGTTCACTTTCACGGATCTTTTCCCTCAGCTTGGACGCGTTCCACGTATTTTAATCACACAGAATAAGCTTCTTTTAGAACATCTGACTTGGGTATTTTCCTTGCATGTTCTTTCATTTTTACATCTAGCATAATTATAGCCGGGTGCCCCTGGTTCACACCTGTAGTCCTAGCGATTCTAGAGACTGAGATCTGAGGATTGCAGTTCAAAGCCAGGAATGTCAGTGAGACTCTCTGTCTATATTTAACAACCAAAAAGCTAGAAGTGGCTCAAGAATTAGCACCCTAGCCTTGAGAAGAAAAAAAGCTTAGCTTCAGGACAGGGCCTAGGACAGGGCCTAGGCCCTGAGTTTAAGCCTTAGGACTGGCACACGCACACACACACACACACACACACACACACACACACACACACACACACACACCCCAAACTATAAAGGTGCCAGTTTCGTCAAGTCTGCCGGCACTACAATTGATATGCTTTGTTGGTGAACACTGCCTGCAGAGAAGTATCTTTTAAGTGTTTCAGAATCCTGAAAACTGATCACTATATACAAGCCTTTATTAAAACTGTGATCACAGCTGGGCACCGATGGCTCACGCCTGTAATCCTAGCTACTTAGGAGGCTGAGATCTGAGGATCAAGGCTCAAAGCCAGCCTGGGCAGGAAAGTCCGTGAGACTCTTATCTCCAATAAACCACCAGAAAACCGGAGTGGCTCTGTGGCTCAAGTGGTGCAGCGCTTGCCTTGAGCTGAAGAGCGCAGGGACAGTGCCCAAGCCCAGAGTTCAAGCCCCACGATTGACCAAAAACAACAACAACAACAAAAAACTGTGATCACATTAACTTACAATCAAACCAATTGGAGTAGAAACAGAAGCATTAAATAAATATTAAATATAAAAATATTAAATTTTAAATATTAAAAATCCATCACTCGGTACCAGGGTGCCACTCCAATCTTGAGTCTGTTTGTTTGTCTGTTACTCTCTAAAGTGAAGACGCATTGCAGCCTGTTGTGGGCGGGCGCTGTGTGACTTGCAGGTGCTCCTAGACTCCCTGGTCTGGGGGCCGGAGAGTCCCTTCTTTATCCTGAAATTTGCACCCATGGGTCTGGTTCCACCTCGAAAACTAGCAAATGCACAAATCCAAGTCTTTCCCCTAAAGACCCCATTGTTAATCATTAAGAAATGAGGAAATAGCAGGTTGGGAGAAGTTTGTTAACTTTCCCAAGGCCACAGTGGGGAAGTGTGATTCCTGCCACCTGGGGGATGGGGCTAGAGAGGGCTGTGTCACAGAAAAGTAGCCAGTGAGCCGGGCACTAGTGGCTCACGCCTGTCATCCTAGCTACTCAGGAGGCTGAGAGCTGAGGATCATGGTTCAAAGCCAGTCCAGGCAGGAAAGTCTGTGAGACTCTTATCTCCAATAAACCACCAGAAATCCGCAAGTGGTGCTGTGCTCAAGTGGTAGAATACTCGCCTTGAGCTGAAGAGCTTAGGGACAGCGCCCAGGCCCAGAGTTCAAGCCCCATGACTAACAAAAAAAAGAAAAGAAAAGTAGCTAGTGAGTGTGGATCATGGGGAGTGGAGAGGGTGTAAGGAACTTGGGTTTGGGGCCTGTTTCTTTTGGTGTTTGGACAGGACCTCAGCATGATTATGAGGCTGGAAATTCTCAAGGTCCACTGGGGCTTCAGTGGACTGGGTCCAGAAGCAGCCAGGGAATTCTGTGATTTTTTTTTTCCAGGACACAGAAAGAAAGTGAAGCTCCGGGGATCCTACCCCAGCTGATCCTACCCCTGCAGGGCTACTCTAAGGCCACTGTTCAACCCTGTCCCCTGCTTTTTGTCCTCCGCAGACAGGCAGGATCGAGCCCAACTACCCCAAGGTGTGTGGCCACCAGGGTAACGTGCTGGACGTCAAGTGGAACCCCTTCATTGACAACATCATCGCCTCCTGCTCCGAGGACACGTCAGTAAGTGGGGACCCACACGCTACTCCTCCCTGCCCTGCTCCAACCTCTTCCTTGCCCTCCCAGCTAGCCCAGATGGGGATGATGGGAGGGTGGTAGAGAAGTCAGTCCATGCAGCACAGGGCAGACCTTATGTTTCTGGTGTGCATGGGTTTAGAAGTGTGACAATGTAGGTGAGAACCAAAAACAAAAAACCTTCAGGTTGTGATTTGGTCCTGGCTGTGCTCTGTGATGCAGGGCAGAGGGAGGAGGGGAGGGATGCAGAGGGCAGAGAGCTGGCAGCCTCTGGGCTTGGCAGAGTGGCATGGTAAATGCCCCCCGGGGCAGTGTGTCAAAGATGCTGTGTATCTATCCCTCCCTTGGGCACTACTGGCTTTCATGGGTATTCAGGGAGGGATCACAGGTCAGGGAGACTTCAGTAGATACCAGGTTTCTGGCCAAACTTCCAGCCAAGCTACAGGGTATACCTGTGCTCACTGGCATAGTCTGGGGCAGGCCACATCCTCAGGATTCTGGCACTTGAAGGAACCCAGAGTTTAGGTTCTCTAGTCTTTCTAGGCTGGACAGTGAGCTTCTGAAGGCAGAAGCTCTGAATCCAGGCATCTAGCACATGGCCAAATGTTGATGGATGGATGGATCAGTAGATATATAGATGGATTGATGGGTGGATAGATGAGTGGATGGATGAGTAATTGGATGGATGGGTGGATTGATGCATAGATAGGTAGAGGGTAGATTAATGAATAGATGGATAGATGGCTGGATGAGTGGATAGATGGATGAATGGATGGATGGATGGATGAGTGGTGGGTAGATGGATGAATGAGTGGATGAATTTATGGACAGATGGATGGGCGGATTGGTGGATGGATGGTTAGAGGGTAGCTTAATAGATTGGTAGATAGGTAGAGGGTAGATTAATGGATGGATGGATAGAAGATAGATGAATGGTGTGGATGGATGGATGGGTGGATGGATGGGTAGAGGATAGATTAATGGGTAGATGGATGGTGGATAGATGGATGGATGGATGGTATGTGGATGGATGGGTAGATGGATGGATGGATGGTTAAGTAGAAGATAGATTAATGGGTAGATGGATGATGGATGGAAGGATGATTATATTGGTGAATGAGAGAGCTGAATGGATGGATGATGAGCAGAAGGAAAGATAACTAGATTTGTTGGGAGATGGATTGATGGACAGTGGAAAGATAAACATGAAAGAATGAATGAATCAATTATTGAAAGAGATTGACAGTAAAGTCTCCATCAGGGAAGGGTGTAGTGGCAAATGCCTGCTATCCCAGGTACTTTGGAGAAAATAGGGGGATTGCAGCTCATGGCCAATCTGGGAAAAAGTTTCCGTGACTCTTTAAATCAAAAACTAAACCAAGCATGGTGGTTCTTGTCTGTGATCCCCAGCTAGTCAGGTAGGAGGATCGTGATTGGAGAATAGGGACTAGGCAAAAATAATGGAGCTGGGAAGGGGACAGACAAGTAGTGTGGGCTAAAGAGTCCAGTGGTCAGTTCAGGAAAGGACAGGGCTCAACCAGAAAGAAGGGAGGTGAGTCACTACCTACTTTCCTCTCCAGGAGTGCAGCACCATTGTCTCTGTCCTGTTCACTGAGCTGTGGGATGCTGTCACCTGCTTAATTTCAAGTCACCCTTGAAACTAAGGACTCCTGCTCTTATTTGGGCCAGCCAAAATGTACTCATTTAGGCCTCTAGCCCACTGATGACCAGGAACCTCAGCCAAGGGTTAGGAGGCCGGTCTAGCTTACAGCTGGACCAGAGGAGATTCTGTGTTTCTTGTGGACGTGGGATCCTGGCTGCTCCTTCTCCTCTGCCCCAAGCTCCACCCACCCAGTGGTGCACAGTGTCAGCAGATTCCTCTGGCCTCTTGAAAGAGCAGGTTCCCCTTTGGAGAAGTTAGGGTACAGCCCTTGGGGTTGCTTCCTCTGTCTCCTCTTCAAGTCGCAACTCATAATGGACTTACCTGGTTCTCGATGGATCCTTCTCTTACCTAAGGAGAGCCTTGAGCGCTGGGACCCCAGAACAAGCTATTGAGGGTGATATGTACTCAGACAAGCATAAGGCTCTGTCTGCCCTGGTCACAGAAGCTAAGAAGTCCCTCATGTTGCACGCAGCATGTCCAGTGCCCCCCTGCCTGCTGGGGTCCCGAAGGACCTGGTAGAGATGACATCTCAGCTTCCTCACAGGCTGAGTGGCCAGAGGCGTGTGACCTAGCCTCTCTCACTCTTAATTTTGCTCTTTCTGAAGGAGTAATAATGAGACTTGTCTGTAGTTCTATGCCTTGGGGCCTCCAAAAATGCCTCTGATCTCAGCCTTGCTCCATGCCTGACCCGGGCAGAGACACCAAAGCAATAGGAAATACGGTGCAGATGTATATGAGACCAGATTCGCCTTGACCCAGAAGCAGGGACAAAAGGAAGTTGGGGAGAGCTGGATGTGGGACAGACAGGATGTTGGCCTACAGTAAGAGAGTTAAAGGAATCCCAGAAAGAGGCCCTGCCCTGGCCAGGCCAGTCGGGGTGGGGGTGCATTTGGTAGAGAAGGGGAGAAGGGGAATGCTGGGCTGCAGCCGGACCCCTGGGGAATGGCTGTTCAGTGAGAAAATGAATATGGTGGGGGCTGGGAAGGGAGGCTGGGACAGGAAATGATGTGGGGTGCAGAACCTGGAAATGGAGCCTGGGCTTCTCAAGCTATCTGGGCAGTGGATGCTAGAAAGGGAGCCATGAGGACACTGTGGTCGCAGCCATCTTTGCCGAGATGAGACCAGAGAGCTAGCTGCAGAATGTCTGGGATCTGCATAAGCAGGGAGGGAGGGAGGGAGGGAGGGAGAGGGCAGCCCCCAGGGGAGGGTGTGGCCAAGAGGAAGGAAAGGGAAGGCCAGGCTCAGGGCAGGAGGTGGGGTGTGCTGGCTAGAGCTGCTGATCCAGAGAGAGGAGATTAAGGCTGGCTCAGAGAGAAGCTAAGCTCTCCCCACACCTGCCAGGCCAGCTGCTCCAGAAGCCTGGCCCAAAGCCCCACCGGAGCCTCAGGTGTCTGCCCCCACCCCTGCCCCAGAGGGGCCCAAGGCCTTGGCAATGAAGCCAGCAGTCCCTAAGGCTGGAACCCAGCTGTTGTGCAAAGGGCACCCTGAAGGTGAAGTCACATAGAGAGTGACTTAGGGCAGCCCTGGTTATACAGAGCGGGGGGAACTGAGGGTCTGAGCCATAGTGCCTGTCCAGATTCCTCACCTGGTACTTATACCACAGTGCTCCAATTGGGAGGAGCCTAGGAGACAGTTGAGGGGGGGGGCTTTACTGGCCTCTCTGCCCCCAACTAAAGACCTTGAGGTCCATGCCTCCAGGACTCCCTCCCTGGACCCAGTCCAGCTTCCCGAATGGTAACACACATTGTCTAGAAGCAGATGCACCAGGCACAGTGCCCCAAACCTGGGCTGGGAACACAGAGCGAAGCCTCCCCCTTCTGCTCCCCCCCCCCAGTCCCTGCCCAGCACTGAACCTGCTAGTCCTTCAGAATTGCAGAAGACACCAAGGTGGCCTTCCTCCCCATCACCCTACCCTGTGACATTATCGGAGGGGGGGGCGTGGATCTGTTGAGGGTCCACCCCCGCAGGGTCCAGCTTGCCTGAGCCCCTTTCCCCAGGGCCCGGAGGGCGGAGGGCTACAAGGGGTTGTAAGTCTCCCTGGCGTGTGGCAGAGTCCAACCCTTCCCACCCAGATGATGTCACCTATTGTTGCTGGGCTGCGCTTTTTATAGCTTCTGCCGCAGCCAGGGAGAGCAGCCGGCAGCAGGCAGGCACGGGAAGGGAGCCATCTCTTTCCAAGCCTCGTGCTCCAAGTCTTGGGGGTGGGGGTGGGGGAGGGAGGGCAGTAACCAGAGGGGGGCAGGGTGCAGAGAGAAAGCTCACACACCTAGGAGAAAGGAAGGAGGCTGCTCTCTGGGCAGACCAAGCGCAGCATGGTTCTTGTGCCTTCAAGTCGAGCTCTGCTGTCTTCCCCCAGAGAGATACAGCTCTTCTCTGAAGATCTGGGTAGTACATTGGTTCTGCTTGAAGCTGCCCTGTCCCATCCCACCCTGTAGCTGGAGAAACAGCATTTCTCACCCATCAGATGGGGGGAGAGAATAAGATTGTGTGCGTGTGTATTCACAATGCCAAGGTTCCAGGCAAATGATCCACCAGTGAGGTAAGCTCCCAGCCTTTCAGCATTTGAAAAGGTGAGCCACACATAACCCCTGTCCTTCAAAAGCACACCCTAGGGTGAGGATCATCACAGAATGAGCTAGAATCCTCAAAGAGAAATGGGCAGAGCCCAGGGTCAAATTCATCTTGGGATAGTTAGACAACAGATATCTCTCTGGCCATTTATGAAGATAAAGTAGCCAGGCACCGATGGCTCACAGGTGTAATCCTAGCTACTCAGGAGTCTGGTGAGATTCAAAGCTAGTTTGGGCAGAAAAGTTTGTGAGACTCTTATCTCCAATTGGTCAGCAAAATTTTAGTCCAAGGTGGAGCTGTGGCTCAAGTGGTAGAGTGCTGGCCTTCAGCAAATAAGCTCAGGGACAGTGCCCAGGCCCTGAGTTCAAGGCCCTTGACCAGCACAGAGATAGATAGATAGACAGATGATAGATAGATGCATAGATATGTACGTAGGTGATAGATAAATCATTGACATACTAGAATCTGCCTTTCTCACCCCAGACTCCCAGTTGATGGTTATATGAGCTTTGGGGGTCTTTTAGGGACACAAGTAAGGGAAATACTCATTTCTGTGATCTTTGATCAGGAAGTTCATCAGAAGGTCTCCCTTCAGACACCCCAATTCCCAGCCAGGCTCCCCAGGCCTGGCTTTGCCTTTGCCTTCTGTATTATGTTCTCCACCATCATTCTAGCCTTTGGGATTCCAATCAAATGGCCACCACGACATATAAATAGTAGATATGCTATTGTTCCCCTAAAAGTGTTTATTTTTATGTGCATTGCTTCCCTAACATTGATCACTTGTTGAGTTCCTTTTTGAGTTTTCTGTTTATGCTGTAATAAACACCTTCATGCCTAGAGACGTTCTTGTATTGTATTTGTTTGATTGTTTTTGTGCCATTACCAGAGTTTGAACCCAGGGCCTCAAGCTTTGCTCAGTTTCTTGCTTACAGTTGATGCTCTTCCGCTTAGACCATGCCTCCAGTGCAGGCTTTTTTTTGCTAGTGATGGAGTCTTGCACACTTTTCTGCCTGGACTGGCTTTGAACTGTCATTCTCAAATCTCTGCCCCCCCAGTAGCTAAGATTATAGGTCTGAGCCACCTGCACCTAGCCTCTTATATTGAGTTTTAAGAGTTGAATTATTGTCTGAAGGAATCGCTCAAGAAGTAGAGGCCTGCCTAGCAATCCTGAGGCCCTGAGTTCAAATCTCAGTATTGCCAAAAACAAAAACAAAAAGGAAAGAGAAGCTGGCTTTTTCTTTTTTCTTTTTTCCAGTTGGCTATTTTAGCAGATTGTAAATAGTATCACCAAGCTATTTTTTCCCCTGTTTTCTTATCACTAACAAGGGTGGAATTCTGTGTTTCGAGAAGGTGGTCTTACAGGTGTTTGAAGTTGGAGTCACCTGTACTTTGCCCTCTCCACCTTGTTGGACTCTAATAAATGGAATTAATGATGATAATAACAGACTTATAACTCTATTCTGATTTTACACTGCCAGTATGCCAGGCAGATCAAGCATCTCCCTTTCCCCAGATGGCATAGCGGAGACTGCAGATTGACTGGCTTGAGTTCCAGACCCCCCATCCCTCGTGAATGTCCTAAAGGGGTCCCTGATTACAGAGATGGCCCGGTGCCCGCTCTGGGCCTCACTGTTTCCCGCGTGTCCCCCTCCTTCTCTTGTTACATCATCCTGCTCTGCTGCCTTGTCTGCATCACAAGAAGAAAATAGCAGCTCCATCCAGGCCCTCTCTGGCCTTTCCGCTCAGGCCCAGCCTCCTACTGAAGTCTACCCCTGAGTCTGGCATCTCTTGGCCACCTCCTGAATGCACCTCTCTCCCTCAGCCCGGGCGTCAAAGACAGAGTGAGGGACATGGCCATGGGTCATGGTGTGTGTGTGGGGGGGGGGGAGTACACAGGAGAGCAGGCAGAAGGCAGATTCTTAGGAGGGCATGGAGGGAAAGGGAAGGTGGGCTTTTCAATTAGATGCTAGCTATAATCCCTTGTGCTATCCTCACAATGGTCCCAAGCCTGGCTTGCCCACAGTAGGACCAGCATCCTTGAAGCCATACTCTTAGCTTGCTTGTGGTGACATCATTTAGAGAAGCCAAAGGAAACAGCCCACCACCCCTTCACCACCATACCCCAGGCAGCTCAGCCTCCCACCCGGATTAGAGCCTGCCACACCCAATCAGTTGAGGAAAACCTGGTGCCCTGGGGAAGCAGGGCCTTTCACAGCGCCTCCTGCTGGTGTTACCCGGCCACAGCCCTGCATTCCCTTGCAGGTACGGATCTGGGAGATCCCGGAGGGTGGCCTGAAGCGGAACATGACCGTGGCGCGGCTGGAACTGCATGGGCACAGCCGGCGTGTGGGGCTGGTGGAGTGGCACCCCACCACCAACAACATCCTATTCAGTGCTGGCTATGACTACAAGGTGCGTTGCCACTGGGATGGGGTGCTGGGATGCTGGCAGGGGTGGAAGGGAGAGAGCAGAGATACCTAAGGGCGTCAGAAGCCCACTTCCCAGCAATAGACTGCTCTGGTCTCCATCTGTTGCACATACCCGAGCAGGTACCCCATGCACCTCATCCACCCTGGTAGCTGGTGACATCGTCCCTGCCTTCTCCAATAGTTGATGGGCTGGGAGAGCATGCCTACTCCCTGCGTATAGCCCCCATGTGACCACTTCTTAGCCAACAGTTGGCCACTACTCACCTGATCACAAGAGTGGAGCCCTGGCCCCTCTGCCCCATGCCAAGCCCTCTAAAAAGGTGTCACAACCTGGGACCTGGCAAGTGACATTTCCTCTCCTTGCTGGTTGCAGAAGCTGAGAACCAGCCTGAGCCTAGGACTTTGGATAGGGCATCTTCTAGGGCTTGAGAAATGGGATGTATCAGTCTTTCTCCATAGAACCCAATAGTGTCATTCAGCATCACAGCACATAGCCCTGCGTGGGCCTTTCTCCTAGACTGTCAATGTGGCTGGAAGACAGACTCCTAAGACAACAGCTGACCCCATTCCCCCACTTCCCCATGCCTGCCTTTGCAGGTTCTCATCTGGAACCTGGATGTGGGCGAGCCGGTGAAGATGATTGACTGCCACACGGATGTGGTCCTGTGTATGTCCTTCAACACGGACGGCAGCCTGCTCACCACCACATGCAAGGACAAGAAGCTGCGTGTGATCGAGCCCCGCTCTGGCCGCGTTCTGCAGGTGGAGCCCTAGAGTGTTGAAGGTGGAGGGGAGGAGGAAAATGGGGCCCAGGATTCAGCTTGGAGCCACGCCTGGAAGAAAAGGCTGTGCCTGGACCTCCATCTGTGAATCTCTCCTGAAGGCTGGTGCCTGTCTGCTCTAGGCCTTTCCAAGTCCATGGGAGCCCTGCTTCGTACTAAGGGGAGAGGGACCCTAGGACCCTTTCCTGCCCCTGGTACAGTGGCCTCCAAATGGGATTCTTGTGGCCTGCCCTGGAGACTCCCATCAGACCCCAATCCCCAGGCATTAACTGTGCCCCATCATGGGCACGGGAAGGGGGGGGTGGCCAGGGGGACTGGACACTACCCAGCCACTGGTGTGTAATAGGCTGGGGGAGTGAGTTGGGGTGCTGTCCCCACAGACAGCCTCAAGTGGGGACTTAGTGTGGACTGATCTCCATTTGGGTCTGAGTCTCCCGAGTGTGAGGAAGAATTGCATTCCATTTGGTAATAACCAATGAGCATTTGTGTTTTAGACATTTTATCATAGTATTTAATGCATGCATATATTGTACTTTGACTCCTCTATTGCTATTTCTCTTTCATTTTCCCCCTTCCCCCCTCCCCTCTTTTCTTTGCCTTTTTTTTTTTTCCTTCTGGTCATGGGGCTTGAACTCTGGGCCTGGGCACTGTCCCTCAGCTCTTCAGCTCAAGGCTAGTGTTCTACCACTTTGAGCCACAGCGCCACTTCTGGTTTTCTGGTGGTCAATTGGAGATAAGAGTTGCATAGACTTTCCTGCCCGGGCTGGCTTTGAACCATGATCCTCAGCTCTCAGCCTCCTGAATAGCTAGGATTACAGGCATGAACCACTGGCACCCAGCTTTTTCTTTTCTTTTTGTAATAGTTTTTACTGGGTTTCATTATGCCATCTTTATACACAGACAGGATAGACTCAAGCATCATTCGTCTCTAAGAATTCTTTCTCCTTCTTATATCTGTTCCCTCTGCCACCTTTCTCCACCAGACTGCCCCACAATTATGTGTGGGTGCACGCACATGCGTGCGCGCGCACGCACACACACACACACACACACACACACACACACATACACACACACATGGCTTAGCTTCTTGCAAGTTTGAGAAAAACCTGCTCTTTATCTTTCTGAACCTGGCTTATTTTGCCTTAAGGTAGGTGGCTGATCATCCTCAGTTCCCTCTGTGTTCTTGCAAATGTCATAATTTCATTCTTCTTTGCTGCTAATCTGCCGTGTGTAGACACCGCAGAGTCTCAGGTAGGACTCAGGAACCGTGCAGACCACACGCAACACAAGACTCCTGGCTGTTTCAGTTCCACAGTTGAGCTCTGGCTTCTGTTTCAGAAGGCACCGGGTTACAACACAGAGAGGCCAGGAGAGCAGTAAGGGTCCCCCATGATGAGACCCTCCGTGATGAGTGTCCCTGTGACAAGGATCCCCATGATGTGTCTCTGTGACGAGGACACCGGGATGGAATTCAGACAAGCACTTCGGGTGGTTGTGGCTCCTGTGGTGTGCCGCCTGCCACCATTGGCCTTTCTCAACAACCTTCAACATTCACATCTTGTAATGGATGTGTCCTCCCAGTCAATATTCCTTGAGCACCTACATTTGCCAGTCATGGGGCTAGGTGGAAAAGGAAATGTGCATGGAATTTGGGTTTTGTCTGCTGCTCAAGAAAGTACCTGAGCCAGGTGCCAGTGGCTCATGCCTGTAATCCTAGCTACTCAGGATCATGGTTCAAAGCCAGCCTGGGCAGGAAAGTCTGTGAGACTCTCATCTCTAATAAACCACTTGAAAACTGGAAGTGGTGCTGTGGCTCAAGCAGTAGAGTGCTCGCCTTGAGCACAGGGACAGCACCCAAGCCCAGAGTTCAAGCCCCACAACTGACAAAAAAGAAAGAAAGGAAGAAAGAAAAAAAAAAGAAAAAGGAAGGAAGGAAGGAAGAAAGAAAGAAAAAACCTGAGCCCAGTGTATTAATCTTTGAAGATGCCTGGACCATTACTACAAATGACAGAATAATCTTAGTTGCTGATGTGAACACTGATGGACACTTCCTAGGGCCTTGTTGTATGGCTGTCACCATCAGCCCTCAGGACAGCCTTGTTTGTGGACACATTGCCCGCCCATTTCTTGTGTGAGAACACCCAGCCATGGAGAGGCTGAGATTCAAAGCCCCCAGTCTCAGAGGGAGCTAGAATCGAACCCAGATCCCACAGTGCTTTAGAAAGGATGTTGGAGAGTGGAGAAGTGGGGCTGGGAATGTGGCTTCGTGATAGAGTACTCACTCAGCATGCATGAAGCCCTGGGTTCCATTCTTCAGTACCACATAAGCAGCAAGGCTGGAAATGGTGCTTTGGCAAGTGGTAGAGTGCTTGCCTTGAGCAAAAAAAGCTCAGGGACAGCCCAGGCCCTGAGTTCAAGACCCAGGATTGAAGGAGGAGAGCGAGAGGGAGGGAGGGGGGAGAGGTGATGTTCTAGCTCACAGATGAGGACCTCCATGTGACAAGGACACTGGTGATGGCATTTGGGGACCAGGACACTGGTGGCAGCATTTGGGGACCACCTGCCGGATCTTTTCCCTGGCCTCTTGGGATCCAGATGTAGACACTCAGTGCAGCTCAGGACAGTATCAAGTGCTGGGGCCCTGGCTCACCCACACTGTCTGTCCCCCAGGAAGCAAACTGCAAGAACCACAGGGTGAACAGAGTGGTCTTCCTAGGAAACATGAAGCGGCTGCTCACCACAGGGGTCTCCAGGTGGAACACCAGACAGATCGCCCTGTGGGACCAGGTCAGCTCTGGGGAGGCCATGGTGGGCAGGGAATGGCAGGCAGGGAGAGGGAGAGGATCAGAAGGGAGAAGGAGAGGGTGGGCAGCGTAGATCTGAGCTTGGGCAGTGGGCAGGGGGTGGGGAGGGGCCTTGTGCTGAGAGGGGACCAGGCAGGCATCCAGGCCAGACCCCGCTGTGGTCACAGCATGCCCCGACACAGGCACACACTGCCTGCCGGAGCTCCAACTAAAGCGGGATAAGGGGCCTGCTCAGGCCAGGCCAGCCTCAGGCCCCTCTTTGGGGGAGGAAGGGGTGGGGGCGGGGGGAATCCCACCCTCTTCCCCGGCCCAGGCTGGGCACTTTCACAAGGAGTGGGGTATTGGAGCAGAGCTTGGCTCCTTTGTCCCTATACTACAGTGTCTGCATGCATCTGCTCCAACTCCGGCCCCCAACAGGCCTGGCCACCTCTGGGAAGTGGAGGGGGGAGTCCCAGGTGTCCATGAGCAGGAACCTCCCTGTCCTCTCCCCAACCCTCAGCCAGAGCAGCAGCATGGCCGGGCCCTGTAGGTCAGAGGGCAGTGTGGGAAGCAGATGGGATCTCTGTGTGACCGGAGGGGAGGCCCAGCACCTCCCTCCCAGACCTCTGTGATCGGCAGTTGTAGGTGGGCCTTGCTGGGGTTTGCAAGGCGACCTGCAGGTCCTCCTGGGCACTGGCTGAGCCCTCCACCCACCCCACAGGAGGACCTCTCCATGCCGCTGATTGAGGAGGAGATCGATGGGCTCTCCGGCCTCCTGTTCCCCTTCTATGATGCTGACACCCACATGCTCTACCTTGCTGGAAAGGTAGTAGAAGGTGGGGGAGGGACCGGGGAACCAGAGGAGACCCCTGCCTCCTCCCCCCAACTTCTGCCCCCAGCCATGAACCGACCCAGGGCTCTGGGTCTCCCCCATCCCCCATCTGTCCCTACTTTCAAGTCTGATGTTGCTTCTTACTAAAGTGTGAGTGACAGAATTTACTAAATGGCAAGGTGGGGGCGGGACTGACAGGGAAACAAAAGATCTGAGCCTCAAGTGCAGGGACTTTTGATGGAGCCACCTGCGAGGAGATCTTCGGTCGAAAAGACCATCCTCACATGTTCATGCGCACCTGTGTGCATGCACATTTGATGGTGCACCTGCATGTGTGGACGCGCATGCCTATATCTGTGCATGCACACAGACACTGACCGCACCCACCCCACCCCCACCCCACTGGAAAGACCCCTGTTCCGGAATCTCAAGGGAGCTAAGTGGTGCCTGGTCTTCCTGGTCTCTGAGCATCGCAGCTCTTCTGACTCCCGGATGCCAGACCTCCCTCTGCCTTGAATCCCCCCCTCTGCCCCACCCTCCCCTCTGCCCCCACTCTTCTTACCTCCTCCCTCTGGTCCCCAGGGCGATGGGAACATTCGCTACTACGAGCTCAGCACGGAGAAGCCCTATCTGAGTTACCTCATGGAGTTCCGCTCCCCAGCCCCCCAGAAAGGCCTAGGTAAGGGCCAGAGACCATGCAGCCTCTCCACACAGGGCAGGGGGCCAGTCCTCTCTAAATGGCAAGGTGATGGTTGGGGAGTGGGTGGGAAGAAGACACACAGTCGTGGCTAGATGATGAGCCTTCCAGGCGCCACCCCTGACTCTTAACACCCACTTTGATGCTTCCTGTCACCCCACCATCCTTGGGCCACTGCCATCCTGTCCAGCTGTGGCCTGGAGCCGAAGGGGAGACCTAGCCCCAGTCTGGCTGACACAGCGAGAGTCAGGTCATTATCTAAAGTTCAAAGGCCAATTCTTTCATACTGGAGATTGAACTCACTTGAGCCGTGCCTCCAGCCCTTCTTCCTGTTGGTTATCTGTGAAGTGGGAAGAGCTTGGGCTGCCATCTTCCGATGTGTTATATGTTAGCCTTCCCCGTGCTGCTCACGGTAACAGGCACACACCCCTGGGCCCAGCCATTGTGTGACCCCAGACCTGGGTAACCCACCAGGTCCAGCCACTGTGTGTCCCCGGACCTGGTTGGTTGGGATGGAGTCTCTTGAACTTTTATGCTCAGGCTGTCCTTAAACAGTGATGCCCAACCTCTGCCTCCCAACGAGCTGGGATTACAGGCTTGCACCATCAGGCACACCTGAACAGGCCCATCTCTAAAGCACACAGTGGTGAAGCTGTCGTGGTAATGGCCCACAGGCTGCCCTGCCTGGGGACGCCCAGAAGTGGGTACCAGCATTGACAGAACCACGCACCTTTCCACAGGGGTCATGCCCAAACACGGGCTGGATGTGTCAGCCTGCGAGGTGTTCCGTTTCTACAAACTGGTGACTCTGAAGGGCCTGATTGAGCCCATCTCCATGATTGTGCCCAGGAGGGTGAGTAGGGTTGGCCGGGCTTTGTAGGAAGATGAGGAGGGGTGTGGATGGGGTCCAGGTTCACCCTGGAGGAGAGATGGCGGCCACCGTGAACGAGAGCTTCATACACGCAGGGGTGAGGACACTAGGAGCTGGGAAGCGGGCAGTGTGGAGGGAGCTCTGCCATCCCCTCTTCCTTCCCCTCCCCTGTAGTCGGATTCCTACCAGGAAGACATTTACCCCATGACACCAGGCACGGAGCCAGCTTTGACCCCAGATGAATGGCTGGGAGGCATGAACCGAGGTATGGCCGTGGATATGGGATCGGGCAAGAAGCCACAGGCCTCCCCTCCCGGCCAGCCTGGCTGGTTTCCCTGGCATTACCTGCAGAACATGCCCTCCCTCGGCAGCTGGGACCCCCTCAGGGTGCAGCAGACACCCCATTGTTCAGCCTCCCCTGCCTCCCTCTGCAGACCCTGTGTTGATGTCTTTGAAAGAAGGTTACAAGAAGTCCTCAAAAGTGGTGTTCAAGGCTCCCATCAGAGACAAGAAGAGCGTCGTGGTGAACGGAATAGATTTACTAGAGAATGTCCCACCCAGGACAGAGAACGAGGTGAGGGCATGTAAGTTATTTCCTCCTGGGCCCTTACATCTCACTTATGGCTACAGCCTGCAAACTACCTCCAAATCCAAGGCGTTTTTCTTTCTGTAATGAAGACCATACATTGCTTGCTGTTGCCTCTATTGGCTGGGATGCCAGGAAGATCCGCCCCTTCCTGAGTAACGCCCAGTGCTGGGCGTTATCCACTCACCGGTACCTTGGGAGACCAGCCTGGCCCTGGGCTTCATGGCATGGTCTTCTTTCCAGCATGGGGACACACTTCTGTCTGGCTACTTGTGCAAACAAACCTTGATACCAGTCAGAATGGGAAGGAGCAAAGCTGGTACCTGGGCAGCTGGTGCCAGGCCTTGTCCACGCCCCCACCCAGGGCAGCTCTGTCCATCTGTACCCCAGGCCCAGGTCCCAGCACAACTTGTCTCATCCAGGAGTCATCCGGGGCCTGCTTTGTGGCAAGCACTGTGCCCAATGACGCTGATGAGACTAAGCAAGGTCCCTGGCCTTTCCGACTCATGGGAAAATGGGGACAGGAAATACTGTGGGCATCAGAGATGGGCCACCAGTGCCAAGCTTGGGTCCTGCTGTCGCTGAGTGCCCGGAGGAAGCAACCACCTTGGCTGTCTGTCTATGGATGCAAGATCACTCCAAGACTTAATAACGTTTACAGCCTCACAGATTCTGTGGTGCCTGCAGCTTGGGTTTCTCAGGAGGCTGCAGTTTGCTCCAGCAGTGGGGCTGCTGTCCCTCGGGGGCCATCTTAAAAGACAGCCTGTCCCACAGGATCAGAGGAAAACCAGACCAGCATTGAGCTGGAGGATCTTAGAGTTTTAAAGGAGATATTGACAGGCAACCTGATACTTGCCATGAAATACGTTCTGTGCTGTTGGCGGGAAGGGGAGCAGGGCCCGACGGGTGGATAGTCAGGAGTTTGCGTCAAGATAATCCCCAAGTGGTGGGAAGCAAAGGTGAAGCAAGAAGGGTGACAGGCTTCCAGGTGTGGTCGTGCATTCCTGTAATCCCAGCACTTAGGATGCTGAGGCAGGAGGATCTCGCCTGGGTTACATGGCAAGACCCTGTCTCAGACAAACAAATAATGATAGCATTTTTAACGCGAATGGCGACATGATGTAACATACATAACCTTTTCTGGTTATCAAAATGTTTGTTGGGAAAACATAATACTTGCCCCTAGAGAAACAACTGTGCCTGCCCAGGTAAACACAGCAGGGCCTAGACTCCATTCCCAGGCTGGGCCTGGAGAAGCAGGGTTGGGTACTGAGCTGTGACCGGCCTGTAGGATGCAGACCTGGGAACAGGAGATCTCTGACAGGACCATTCACCTGCCATGATCCCCATACACCAAAAGGAAGAAATGGGCTCAGAGCTGTCAGCCCCACCCTCGCACGCTGATGCCCCTCTCCCAGAGCTTGCTTTACTTAGCTGTCATTCATTCATTCGGCCATTCATTGGTTCATTCATCGTCATGTGTACTAATTGTCCTGAGGGTTTTCCTTGGTATTGCAGACAGGTGTGTATTACATTTGGATCAGCATTACCCCCAGCACTGCTTTCTTGCTCCACTCCCCAGTTTAGAAAGGATGGTAAAGAAATGCATTAGATCTGGGCCTATAGAAGGGTGAGCCTGGGTTGTTTGGAAAGCTGGGCTGCGGCGTTGTGGGACCTGTGCCCGCCGGATTTGTGTTGGATGAGCCTGGAGGGGAGTGCTGGGCAGGCGGACAGGCCTGGGAGCGGGTGGAGACCCAGCCGGAAGCACCACCTCACCTGTGTCCCTGGCCTCCTGGCCACTTCTTGTTCCCTAGCTGCTCAGAATGTTCTTCCGGCAGCAGGATGAGATCCGGCGGCTGAAAGAGGAGCTAGCCCAGAAAGACATCCGCCTTCGGCAGCTCCAGCTAGAACTGAACAACCTGCGCAACAGCCCCAAGAACTGCTAGCCCCGCCCACCGCAGGACCGGCTAGCTCCCACCCCGCCCCACCTCCGGGATGTGCCAGGGAACTGCTAGCCCCCTTTCTCCCCGGCCACACTCCAGGAACCGCTAGCCATGCCTGGGCCTTGTGGAAGCCATCTTGATCTCCGTTGTTTCTACTCTTCCCTAACTGCCTCTTCTCCGGTGACCCCGGGGGACAGAGCCCCGGCTGGAACTGGGGGCCACCCTGAGCATCTGCCTGCCACTGACCTCCTGAACTCATACCAATCCTGTCCCTGCTGGCAGCCCCACCCCCTCCTGCTACCCAGCAGTCAGACTCCTGGGGGGGACCTCCATGGACAGGGAGCAGGACCCGGCTGGACTTAAGATGTCAAACTTCTTCCCTGCAGAGGGGCTGCTAAGACCTGCTGCACTGGGCCTGTTGCTCAGCTCTTCCTGGGAGCAAAGGACAGACTGTGGGCTGGACTTCCCAGCCCCTTCCCACCTGCACCTGAGTCGCTCAAGGGCAGCGAGCAGCCCTGCTCCCCTCTGTCCGCTCCCCCTGCAGCCCCTCTCCCCTCCATCCCCTGCCCTTGTCTTCAGGGAAGAAGAAGGGACTCTGGAGGTCCCGTGACCCCTGCTTTGTGAGCCAGGCAGGGGTGGGGACCTGTGTCCCATTTGTCAGCTGATAGGACTGAGGTCACCCAGGAGAAACACCTCTCCCGGTCACCTGAGGGGGGGTGGGGGTGGGGGGAGTCACCCAGAGGCCCAAGACTTGGGGTCTGAGCTCCAAGGCTCACTGCATCGAAGCCAATACCTGCTGGGCATCCCCAGCATAAGAACTGGAAGGTTCATCCGCAATCTGCCCACGTGCCACACTGCCCCTCCCACTCAGCGCCCCTGCACCCCTGGCCTGCACCCTCCGCGCTCTCGGACTCCAGCTGGGACGAGACCTCCTCTTCTGGAAGCCCAGGCTGAGAAGGGTAGAGGTCGGCCCCGGGGGCCGGCAGCCCAGGGGTCTCAGCCACTTTCAGCCTTACTTGCACGCAGAATGACCACAGCCTTCGCATCCGCATAGCACTTTAAGGTTCATGTAGCTCTTCACATCTAGGCTCTCGCATTCATCCGTATTGAAGATGAAGTGACAGATCGGAGCCCAAGGGTGCCCGACTCTCAGCGACCATATTTACTCCTCTGCCTCCTCTTTTCCATTTCCTACTACCTACCAGAGCCCAAAGACACCATTCAGGGTGGGTGATCTAGGGATGAGGAAATGGGTGTCTCCTCTTCCCTCCCATTGGCTGAGTTCTCCAGCCCAGGATACTCCATGCTGGCCTGTTCCACGTCACCTTGCCCATCTACTCTGAACAAAGGTGGGAGGGGACTGCCTAGCCTCCGCTGATCCTGGAGGCCTTCTGCTCTCCCAGGCTGTGGGATCAAGGTCTCCTCACCCCGCCCTAAGCTTGGTAGTGTCAACATTCATCTCTCATACACACACATGCACTCACACACACACACACACACACACACACTTGTAGCTTTTTTTTTTTCTTCCCCATTGACCTGTGTGGTCTTCTGTGGTTATTTATGCTGCCTCTCAAGGATAGAATTAAAAATGTTTTCACTGATCACACTTGCGCATGGCTATGTCATCTTGCCCTCCCATGGGGCTGGGGGAGGGGGGGAGGGCGGGAGGAGATCTCACTCTTGGTCACCATGGTATCTTAGTAGCCTACTCCCTGCCTGATTTCCTTCACCTTTCTGAGTGACAGGTCTCACACTGTCCTGCGTTGTGGGACAATCGACTGTCCCCGAAGCCACATTCCCGGGCACCCCACCCCTTGTGACAAACAAAAAATATCCTTGGATATTGCAGAGTTGAGGACCTCTACCTGCGGATGTCCAAAGATGTCCACTCTGAGCTTGGCCCTGGGCTGGGGCTGGTGTCTCAGAACGCCGCATCTCAGTTTTCAAAGCTGGTTCCATGCATGTGACCTATGGTGTGTCTCACAGTGGCGCTGAACTGTCACCTCTATTACTGCTTCTATCTCAGCAGAAGAGTCAGGCTCTGTGGTGACCTGCTCAAGGTCACTTTAGGCAGTGACCCTGGTGGGAGGGGATGTGTGGAGGGGGTAGGCCTGGGTTCAGGCTCAGAGGAGGTGCAGGCCCTGTCCCCAGCCAGGCCGAAGCTGGGCAAAGCCTGATCTTTTGAGGGACGACAGGGCCTATCAGACTGGGGACAGCAGACAGCCCTCAGGGCTGTCCAGCTTCATAGTAAGCAGTATGGGACATGAGACTCAGGAAATGGCAGAGGTGGGAGGGTGGAACAGGACAGCACTGGACAGAGCTGGCCCATCCCGGCTCTGGCCCAATTTGTCTGTGCAGTCAAGTGAGTCCTTTTCCTCTCTGAGGAACATTATCTCATCTACACAGTGAGGTTAGAGACAGTCCAGGCCCATTCCTGGCCTAAGGCCTGAAGGTTTCCATTCTGGTGGCATGGAGGGAGTACCAGTGCTCACGACCACCCCTAGTCTAGCACCACAAGTCAGGAATGGTGGTGAAGGGCTTCCGACAAGGCCTGGGTGCAGATAATGACCTTGGATGGATCCTTTCACTGGCCTCGAGCTGCTGCCTGGAGCTGTGGTGCCCGGTGCTTGAGCCCTAGGAAACTGGAGAGTGGATACAGGAGATGACCTGTTCAGCCCCCCCTCGTCCCACTCCATGGTTCTGAGCTCAGCCCAGAACTCTGATCGCCCCTCCTGACAGGAAATCATCTAAGGTCAGGGTTCATCCTGTCCCTTTCCCCCAAGTGCATCTGTTAAGTAACTCATCATTTTCTCTTGGGTTGGCGGTATGTCCCTAAATTCTTCGTGTGCTATGATCCACTCTGTGCTAATTCCAGCCGATCCCACTGCACAGCTTTAGTTACCTAGAGATGGATGGAAGCTTCGCGACTCCCTGCTTGCCCGGCTTCGCACCAAAGGCCCCCTCTTTTTCCAGGTAAGGATGTCTTGTGTTCAACTCCAGACCCTCCTCTTCCATGGAGAGGACCCTGCCCCCTGTCGGTCCTGGGCATGCCTGCAGCTCCTGGCCCTGCCCCTGTCTCCTAACTGGATCTCTGCCACAGTTAAACAAACACACACCAAGCCTGGATCTCTGTGCATTGGACACTGGCCTGACCTTGTGTGGCATCAGCAGGACACAGCCCTACCACGGGTGGGCCTCACTCTTGGCTGGATTCAGCGTGGAGTGGACAGCTGTTTTGAGTTTTCTGGCTCCAAAATTGTCTTCCAGAGAGTCTCCTAAGACCCCAAGATGGGCTCAGACATTTTTAGACTCTCTTGGCACTGGGCAAGCGTCCCAGACTGCCAGTGGACCGCGCGTGCGGAACGTGGCTGCTTCCTCGCTGTGGGAAATGACTTCATGCTGAACTGAAAAAAAACACCCTCCCACCCCCACCCTGTCTTCCAGCTTGGAAGGGCTGAGGTCTGCCTGGAGCAGAGGCCACATGAGACAGCATCTTCCGCTCTGCGGGCCTGCAGTTCAGGGAAGGCAAGAGGCTCCTGTTTGGAATGTTGGCAGAGCTCTTGGCTCTCGCGGCCTTTCCAGTTTGGGGACAGCATGCAGGCTGTCTGGTCTTTCCTTGGAATTTCAATTTGGTAGCAAGCATAAACAGGCCAGCCTTGCACAGAGAGAGAAGAGAAATGGTGAGGTTAGGGGGAAGGGGTCTCTAGATGGCTTTGGTCTGTGAGTCCTTCCCCAACTCCTGGCTGGTCATATGACCTGGGGGGGGGCCTGCAGCCTCTTTGCTAAGGACTGCCTTGAGCATGTGCATATACCATGCCCTGAGCTGGGGTGCTGGCATGGATAGGGCTAACACACTGGGTGTAGGTGGGAGGCAGAGGTTGAGGAACACTGAGGAGGAAGATCTGGCATTTCAAGGTCATAGTGATCACAGCAAGATTCAAAGGCCAGAAAGAATTTGCTAGAAACTTGAATCTAGCCAGCAGGGGGCAGATGATGGCCTTCCTATTAAACTTATTTATCCTGAGCTGAGGCCCCTTCTGCCAGCTCTCACTTCACTCCAGAATTAATGACCCAACCACATTCACCAGAGCCTCGTGGGCAAGCAGGCACAGGACCACGCAGGCTCGGAAAGACCCAGGTGTAGAGGAGGGAGGGGCAGGCAGGAAGCTGCAAAGCCCTCCACCGCCCTGCAGGTTGCTGTTTTGAAGAGTGGCCAGTGGAGGGCGCTTGCCTCTCCTTCCCTCTGAGGCTGTGTTCAACCCAGCTGGCTTCTAGTCTAGTTTCCACAGCGACCTTCATGGGGAGAAGTCCTCCCTGCCTGAAGAGCCTGCAGTTGCTTGGGGCTGAGCAGGTGGCAGAAGAAAATGCCAGAAAGAAGGGCGAGGTAGAGGTCCCAGAGCTCTGTGGCTCAGTGGTCACCACCCAACCCAAGCCTGGGACTCCTGGGTCTCCAGGAAATCTCTGGTGAGAGACGCTGTCCCCAAGATGTATGATCCCAGGTACAGGTGTGGCCCGGGGAACCAGCCTAGAAAGTTCTGAACCCTTGCCCTGGGAGGCTGGCTGCACACTGAGCCCCCGAAGGGTTCCCCCAACTCTCCAGTTGCTTGGCCAGGCCGGATTGATTCATCAAACCACCTGGTGTTGTTCATCTCAGGCTGTAGTCCGACTTGTAGCTCAACTGTACAGGCAGAACAGAGAGAAATGTCTAGAAGGGCTAAGATCCATAACTAGCCAAGACTCTGGTGGGATGGTGGGAGAGCACATTAATTCTATTGTTGTCCGATATCTACCTGTTTCTCTACAGTTGTAATTGTTTTCCATAAGAGAAGACAGGTTTTCATTTATTTTGGGGGTCTCAAGTCCTCTGGGCAGGCGCTCTAGATTCACTCATACCTCCTCCCCTTTTTCTTTAGCTGTTTTTCAAATACGGCCTCACACGTTTTTTGCTTGAGCCTGACTGGACAGAAATCTGAGATTCATGCATTCATCGTGGGTAGCATAGAGGACAGGCAGGGGCCACCACACCCAGCTTCTGGTTGAGATGAGAGTTAAGAACTTTTCGCCCTAGCTGGCCTTGAACCACCATCCTCCTGATAACTTTCTGAGTCCCTGGGATCACAGGCATGACCCTTCTTCCCACACCAGGCCTTTTTTTTTTCTTTTTTTTTTTTTGAGACAAGGTGTCTCACCTGTGGATTGTAGTCTAGCCTCAGTGACTTTCTCCTACCTCGTCATCCTGAATAATGGAATTACAGATGTGCATCCCAGAAAACACAGGGAAAAGCTTAGCATCGGCTATGATCTTGGGATGAAATCTTACTCTATTTGACCTGTCAGGTGTGTATGATGGTGCTCTCTCTTCCCCCCCCCCCCACTGGCTCTGGACTAGAAGAAGGCACTGCCCTTATGGTGGGGAGCAAACGAGGTTGGTCAGGTGCCATCGCCCTGCAGTAAGGCTGGAGCAGTGCATGCTGGGAGTTTAACTCAGGGCCTTGCACACACTACGTGCAGAACCAGGAAGTGTTTCTTCCAAAATCCACCCTCCCCACCTCCCTGCCCCCATGTGCATAACTGGATCACCAA